CTGTACTGCTATTGGCTGGAGAGGCCCAAAGGTGAACCCAGAGCTGAAAATCAACACTAATGGTAGGACTTGAGATGAGAAAGGAAAGGGAAAAAAAACTATGGTTTCAGGCACAGAGATGATTGATTGAAATTAACTTGAATGGAAATTAAAAATCACCTAAAGAAATAAAATACATCTCCATTAATTTTAGTTGAAGGACTATCATTCAGTGTAATTTAGAAAGGTTTGAGAGGTGTTCTTACTACTGAATTATTGTAACTATTATAGTAGTTTATTTTAGGTAATTAACCAAAAAACTCTGAATTATTCAGTTACATGGAATAAATTAAAATTAACTAAAAATATTTTATGAATAAATAAATAAATTGCTTACATGTATTTAATTTATGCTACTTATATTCCTTATTAACTCAATAATTTATTAAACATGATTATATACACTGCACAGAATTTAAAAATGACCAAGGCACAATAAAATGTATGCTTACAATGATTAAAAGTAAAACTGTAAGTTAGCTGAAATAAAGTGTTTTAACGACTTAATTTTTGCATCTTGACACAATTCATTTTTATTCTTAATTAGAATGAATTAGATCTGAAGAAATATCTTTACCTGTTTATTATAATACATAAAACATCATTAAAAAATATCATTAAACAAACAAATGATTATAAATCATAGCTAATAAAAATAGCGTTTTTGAAGGAAAATGTTACACACTGTAAAAAAAATGCTGGGTTCCACGCAATGCCTTCATGTTATCTCAACACAAACTGATTAGGTTAACTTAATTGCTTTTACAAGTTTATGTGGATTGCACACAAAACAATTAAGTTCTCCCTAAAAAAAAACCTCGAGAATCATGTTGATTCAGCTCATTTGCTTTGAATAATTTGAACAAGCAGCAAAAATACATTTTTGAGTGTATCCTAAGGATTATCGTTATTAAAGTACTCAACAACAATATTGCATATTTCCAGTATTGTTCAGCTCTAAATAACATGTTACTGATGCTTACAAAAACACAGATTTTATTCCCTTTACAGAAAACTGAGTGGTGTTTGTTTTCATTGTAGTATTTGTTTTTTCCTCTGTCTGAAATCAGTATGGTTGGTATGTGTATATAATACAGTATATCTGGAGTCAGTAGATAAAATCTTGTTTTTTCCATGCCTTGTGACACACATCTTCTCACTTTGGATCGGAAATCTCCACACTGGCCTTATCCCGACAACAAAGTCTGCTTTCTCTGAGCTCTTCTAGTGTTTCACTGGCATCAGAAGGCTGTTTTTACACGTCCCAGATTGACTGCAATATCCTTAACAAACACACCTGCGTAACTTTGGGTGTCGTTGTGCTTTTATATGCCAGAGGGATGCAGGTGTTTCTGCTGGTAAATGTTTATAAGGAACTGCTGACCTGAAGCCTCTCATAGCAGGGCTTTATTAGTGTTCATGGCCTGTTTTTGTGACCTCACAACCTGCTGAATGACCACACCAACATGTCACCTGCAGCATGTGGTAGAGTACTTTGACCTTCATATGCATCTATCCAGCCATCTATATAAATGGTTTTGCATTAGGATACTATTAAATATAAATACTATTGAATATATATATTCATTCATTTTCTTGTCGGCTTTGTCCCTTTATTAATCCAGCACGTTTTTTACGCGGCCCTTCACGCTGCAACCCATCTCTGGGAAGCATCCACACACACTGCGGACAATTTAGCCTACCCAATTCACCTGTACCGCATGTCTTTGGACTGTGAAAGAAACCGGATATGTATATTATTTATTATTAGTTTTAGTTGTATCAATTTCAATTATTGAATCATTCATTTTCTTGACGGCTTAGTCCCTTTTAACCCAGGATTGCCACAGCGGAATGAACCGCCAACTTATCCAGCTCGTTTTTACACAGCGGATGCCCTTCCAGCCGCAACCTATCTATGGGAAACATCCACACACACACACACACACACTACGGACAATTTAGCCTACCCAATTCACCTGTAACACATGTCTTTGGACTGTGGGGGAACGGAGAACGCAGGGAGAACATGCAAACTCCACACAGAAACACCAACTGAGCCGAGGTTCGATCCAGCGACCTTCTTGCTGTGAGGCGACAGCATTACCTACTGCGCCACTGCATCACCTTGTATCAATTTATTATTTTTAAAGCAATGACTTTTTGCAATATTATATACTGCCAACATCACACCTCTAATGCTTTAATATATATTTAGAGATTTGATATCATCACTGAGTCATCTTTGTGGTAAGTAAAAAGAGCAAGAAATAGACAGCGAATCTTTCAAAGTGGTTTTTGTCTAGGGTGGTTAAACTATGTAGATGTGGAATGTAAACTATCATTTTGCATAGACCCAGAATGGGTAACTACCATGCCACATTGACAAAATGGCTGACGGTGCTTCACTGTGGCTAATAAGTGCTGTGAGTTCTAATGCAACCTTGTGTCTGGAGCATGAGCTCATCTTTTTGCAATGGTAACCCAATAGATGTTAATAACTGATGGTCTCACCAGAGCCTGCACAGTGGTGAGCGGCACACACATATAGTTACATATAGCACAGCTTAGGGATTCTTCATTAGGATAATCATTGTTGATTTAGACTGAAAATAAATGTACTGGGGGTTTAGTTCAAGCATTTTAACCTTAATGCATTCTATATGTAAACTTTTGTCCAAGTCAATGCAAAAAGAGTAAAATATCTTAATATTTATCTAAATAAATGTTAATATTCCAACCTCATTTCCTTCCATTAATTTATTTTAAAGAAAAAAATATTGTTACAGTCAGGACCTTCATGAGAAAAATATTAAAATATTTAATCCCATTGCAAAAAAAAAATCATGCATTATATAGTTTAGTTTAGTTTAGTTTATTTGTTTACAGGGTCAATGCACATTAATAAACATTACTGTAAAATGTGCCAGAATTAGCCAAGAATGGCTATTTTTCATCCGTAGACCCTTTACAGAATGTTAAAAAGTCACACCTAAAATAGATGCACAACATTAAACATTAAATAGACTTTCAAATTTAAAAATACAGTTAAAAAAGTAAAGAAAAGAAAAAAAGAAAAGAAAAAAAGAACAGACTAAATGCTAATTTACTCATTTAAAGGGTTAATATCCTTAAAAATATAGGATTTTCATAGTTAACAAAAGGACTGACGCTGGAAAGGTTAGCTTAAAATTTTAAATATATCAAAATATTATTATTTTTATCATTTTTATGAATCTATGCATGCTTCTTTATCAGACAAACAAGGGTTAATTTGTGTAAAAATGCAATAAGTAATTTTAAAGTCATTTTAAAGGACATTATGTGAATAAGCTCTGGAATTCACATTTAAAGAACACAAAATCATACTGATGTGGCAATAATAGAGCTCTGCACATCATATTAGATTGTAAAATAGGTAGTGTCTAATTTTTTTGTCTGGTTTGCCAGTCCTCCTTGAGTTTATCCTCTATTTTTAAAACCCGGTCAGCACAGGTTGAGTTCGCTGAGAGTTCACCTCATGATAAAAGCTCAGGATCAGTTTACAGCTCCGAACGCACAGTTTTCTTCCTCTCCATCAGGTGCACTCAGCTTGAGTAGAAGTAAACGGGCAGCCATTTTGCTTCTTTCTTAAGCTGTTTTCTTTAGCTTTACATGGTTTGTCCAGATTTATTTGTGTATCCAATTGTAATCAACAATCACATGTTTGGTCAGTAGAGAGAGAGAGTCTGCATTCTTTTATAGATGTTCAAATGTTTTGAAACAAATGTTTATTTTTCTAAAATGCTAACTACATATAGCAACATCTTAATTCTTGATAGAAACATGCTAATCCATGCCTAACATGCAAGCAATATGCTTATTCGTGTTAGAAATGGTTAGAATTAAGCAAATTAAAATAGAAACATTCTAATTCATGCTCAAAAATTCTAGCAATATGCTTATTCCTGTTAGAAAATGCTGGAATTAAGCAAATTAGGAAAGAAACTTGCTAATTCATGCTAAAACATGCTAGCAATGTACTAATTTGTGTTAGAAAAATGCTAGCAATGCTGTAAATTAAGATGGAAACATGCTAATTCATGTCAAGCCAACATCAAAGTTTATGGGGTTTATTGAGATGTCACATCAAAGATTCTTCTAGCTTAGCATTTAATGTTGCAGAATATAGATAGTTGTAGGATAGCCTCAAAAACCATTTGACATCCTTCTATTGAGGGCTTAGAATGCTCAGACAGACATTGCATCTCTAATCTATCTTATATGAAAAGTCATATAACCGCCCTCATAATATGTTAGCAGACCACTGTCACCTGAACTATTCCCAAAATACCTGCAATTCATACAAAGCCCTGACAAGCGTGCAAAAGAAGATCGAATGCTTCTGGTGTGCATTTCAAGTTCAGCTCGTCTAACTCTATTTTTACTGTCAGTAAACAAAATAGACACCAGTGCAGTGGCTAAACACGCATATTCTGTTGTCACGATGGTCGTCCTTATCAAGCCTATGTGTGGATTCCCAAAACAGCATTCCACTTCATCCATCCTGTCCTTAGTGCCTGTTTTTTTTTTTTTTTTTGTGATGACATGAAGGTTGCCCAGTGATAAGGTTTCAGAGGACTTAATTTAAAATCCCAACCCATGTTTTGAAGAAATATAATAGCGGAAACACATGGGTGTCAGAAAAAGACTTTTTATATGGCAGTTCAGGAAACTGAAGGCTAGAATTATGGAACGCCTGTCCATGAGTTTATCACATGACTGGCTTTGTAGTGTTATAAAGTTGCTCAGATGTTTAAAACAACTGTATTAGGCGAGAAATCAATTAAAGACTTTTAATAAACTTTTGCAAGCTTTATGATTGTGAAGGGTTGGGATATTTCAGTCTTATGGTTAGATGCTGAAATAAATGCTGCATTCCCAATATAACAGTTATGGTTTTTTCTCTTTCTGCTCTACAGAATAAGCTTCCTGTGCTTCTACTTGGCAGATCGGCTGACCTCAGACCAGGAGAATTTGTGGTTGCCATCGGCAGCCCATTTTCCCTTCAGAATACTGTTACCACGGGAATAGTGAGCACCACGCAGAGAGGCGGGAAAGAGTTGGGCCTAAGAAACTCAGATATGGACTACATTCAGACTGATGCCATCATTAATGTGAGTGAATTATTATTAGACAATTGTCACTTTAGTTTATTTATTAAAATGTCAGATAACATTTTTCCATAAATCGTAACTTGTGTGCAGGGACAGATTTAGTGATTTTGGGGCCATAAGCAATTCCAGCCATGGGGCCCAGGTCCTGAAATGCACGCTTTTATTTAATTTTTATTTATACTGCTGTTTGTTATCACTCAATCTTCTTTTCTACATGTTAAATTAATGCAATCTCTACATTTGAAATGATTCTCATTTTTTTATTGTAAAATTAATTTACAACTAAAAATAATACATATATTTGTTTACAAATTTGACTGCTGGACTGCTCCATGTTGGATATTTTATTTTGTAATTTTATTGATAAATAACATTACATTATTATAATAATATTACATTTGATTGTATACTAAATACTATAGAATTATGTTAAAAATGTATTTGTTTAACTAACATACAAAATATGATAGAAAACCATGTTATATCTAGTTTATAGACATAATTTATACTTCTAGATGTTTATTGGGGCCCCTCAGATTTCCTGGGGCCCCAAGCAGCGGCTTATCTTGCTTATTGGTTAAATCCAACCCTGCTTGTGTGGTGTTTTTCATTTATTTATTAATGGCATTATGGGACATTGACTTCTGCTCTGAAAAAAATATTTGACTTTTATATATACAGTATATATATAAAAAAATGTAGTTTGGAAACATGTATTATTCATTCATTCATTCATTCTCTTTTTAGCTTAGTCCCTCTAATAATCAGGGGTTGCCACATTGGAATGAACCACCAACTTATCCAGCAAATGTTTTACACAGTGGATGCCCTTCTAGCTGCAGCCGAGCACTGGGAAACACTCATTCACACTCTTACATTCACACCCACACATACACTACAGCCAATTTAGCTTATTCAATTCACCTATAGCGCATGTCTTTGGATCGGACGGGAAAACAGAGCACCTGGAGAAAACCCATGCCAACACAGGGAGAACATGCAAACTCCACACAGAAATGCCAATGGTTTCGAACCAGCAACCTTCTTGCTGTGAGACGACAGTGCTATTCACTGCGCCACTGCGTCACTCAATATGTATTTTATTAGATATATAAATCATAAACTATATATTATATTTATATGCTATAATTAAAATGACCAAACAAGACAATACTTAATCACAGTGATCAGATTTTTACATTAAATTTTGTCAGATGTCAGAGAAGAGATCAACATCCCTTAATGCAACTCAAAATCGAAAACCCCCATGAAATACAAAATGTGGGATAATATGGGAAAAAAATTCTGTTGTTTTTTTATGTTTTGTTTTAATATTGTCTTAATGTCTGTTTTTCTCACCACAATGCTCACAAATTCATGCACACAACAACCAAACATTTCTTAACTAATGAAATGTTTTTTTTTTACAGTATGGCAACTCAGGAGGACCATTGGTTAATCTGGTGAGCACTTCCTCATTTCCGAACTGCTGAAATATACCCTATATAAGCTTGCATATACACTGCTTTTTTTTTTTTTTTTGCACTGAGCATGACAGTGTGGTTATCATTTTCCCAGCATGCTTGTCACTTGAAATGGTGTCATTTTAAAAGTCATCAGTCAAGTAAATTAAAATGCATAAGGAATCACAATAAAAGGTAGTCTTTAAAACACTATGAATTGGTGAAATCCTCAGCAGATATTCTGACTTTGATTGGCTGTTGTAATTTTACTCTCTCGCCTCGACTCCTGCCATTAGTATTTATTTTCAACTTTGGGTTTACCTTTGGGCTGCTTCAGCTAATATCAGAAAAGCAACTTCTGGGCAGAAGAGGATAAAGCTAGTAAAGGGCTAATGTGTTCCAATAAGTCATACTCAATACTCCAATAAGTCCATACTCCATTGTATATACAATTGAAGTCAGAATTAGTAGCCCCCCTGAATTATTAGCACCCCTGTTTATTTTTCTCCCCAATGAGTATATGTCTGATCATATTTTTCCTATAGGATGGTGAAGTGATTGGGATCAACACATTAAAGGTAACGGCTGGAATCTCTTTCGCCATTCCATCAGACAAAATTCGTCAGTTTCTCGCCGAGTCGTATGACAGACTGGCCAGAGGTACAAGACAATACTTGTTTACATAGAGTCAATAACAAAGAATTTCAGTCCTTTCAGTGGACTAACTCACATTTTGTAACATTTGTGGTGTTTTACAGGTCGAGGAACAACAAAGAAAAGATATATCGGTGTTCGGATGATGACCCTCACTCCTTCGTGAGTACATGCAACAAATTAATACTTATTTTAATAAGCCTAAGGAAAATTTGACATAATTATGTAATCCTATAAAATCTCTGTTGTGATTTATTGGATTGTATTGTAAAAAGTTTAATTTAAGCCTTTCAGCTGTCATTTTTGGGAATGGAAACGGCAGATCTGACGTAATTGTATTCATCGACTCTTGCAGATTGTCCAAAGAGCTGAAAGGTCGACTGCGAGATTTCCCTGACATCACCTCAGGAGCCTATGTGATTGAGGTCATCTCTAAAACCCCAGCTGCAGCGTGAGTCACCAGAACTCAAAGTCCCATAATGCCAAGCAGGTCAAGAGAGCAGGTCAACAGCTCTGGCAGCTCTGACAGGCTGTTTTTACTGGCCACATGCTCTCTGCCGTCATGCTTGGAGGAATATTGTCTTTGGCTCCGTCTGTCTCCACATGTTTGAAATTTATGTTAGACCCCCGCCTATCAAAACACACTCTCACACACATGCAAAAACCTGCTGATGTTCATCATTTCAGCCCAATGTGTTTATTGACTCTCACAAAAACCTTTTCCTCTGTATTTTTGAAGACGTTTTTGTTCATACAGTTAGAGGAAGAGGAACATTTACTCTAAGTTGCTGAAAACGCATTTCAGTTAAAGGGATAGTATAGTTCTGTCATAATTCACTTACCATTCTGTCATTCCACACCTGGTATATCTTGTTTCTACTGATAGGTACGGCTCAGTAGAGTAGAGTTTGGTTTGGGTGACCCTTATCAGGCTTGTGTTTCCACTGCCAACAGTACTTGATTACTTGGTTGGCTTGGTAAACGGCAGAAAATTGCAATTGATGTCATTCCCACTTACAGAAAAAAAGGCATTCTGATAGTTCACGTAATTTGCACACTCAAATGTAGATGCACCACAAATGCATCCAAATAGTGAATAAAGCAGCACACCTTGCACTTTTTACATGTTCAGACTTAATGCATGAACCGCACCATAAACAACAATGAAAGACACACAGCAGATCATACTCTTGCTTTTTGGCATGTGGTCATTTGTCATAAGAAGACTACAAGCCTTGTTTGAGCTCATGGTTTATTGCTGCGCACAATTATTGTATTACTCTCTCACTCATTCATTTCCTTCAGCCTATTTCCTGCTTTATCAGGGGTCGCCACAGTGGAGTGAATTACCGATTACTCTGGCAATTGTTGTACCGTCAGATGCCCTTTGAGCCAACCCTAGGAGTACAACCCTGAGTGCTGGGAAACACCCAGACACTCTTCCACACACTATGGCCAATTTCGTTTATCCAATTTACCTATGCAATACAGCATGTCTTTGGACTGTGGGTAAAACCATAGCCTATTCCCTGCTTTATCAGGGGTTGCCAAAGCGGAATAAACCACCAATTACTCTGGCAATTGTTGTACCATCAGATGCCCTTCGAGCCAACCCCAAGAGTACAACCCTGAGTGCTGGGAAACACCCACACACTCTCCCACACACTATGGCCAATTTCGTTTATTGAATTCACCTATACCACATGTCTTTGGACTGTGGGTGAAGCCATAGCCTATTCCCTGCTTTATCAGGGGTCGCCACAGTGGATAATGGAGGATTCTTCAAGATGAAGATGACTATTGAATGAAAACGGCTGATTAAAATCATGTATTAGCTAATCATGTTTTGGCTAATGCAGGTCCGGTCTTGATAAGTAGTAAGCATGTAATCCTCTCAAAATTAGTTTATAAATAAACTTCACTTTGTGCAATGGAGGGTTAATGCATGTTAAAAGGTTCATTATGGGCAGAGTTTAGTGGACAAAAAGAAGATGTCTTACAAAACCATGCATCAGAATGTCATACAACACTGAAACAGCATAAGAGTGACCAAATAATAACAGAGTCTTCGTTTTGACATTAACTTTCCTTTAAAATTGACTAACATCTTCTCGTTAGTCCCTCAAATCATATGATTCAGTTCCTGTCAGTGCCACCTCATATCCATGAGCATTTTAGGGTTTCTTGTCTTTATTATACGTCTGCTAAAAACAAAAGCAAACACACTCAGAGGCAAATTTAGGGTTTGTAGGTACTTGTCATGAATTCTTTGTGCATGAAACAGCGTTTTATTGTAAATAGAACCACAGTATTTCCAGCTGCCCACCACATACTAATCCAGGACTTTTTTAGTTTTCCTGAAAGTGTGGACGTGTTACAAACATGCTCAGATGGCAGCCAGACTCACAGACACTCGGCATGACACCACTTTGGTTATGATTCACAATTGAATAGCAGATGATCACTAAATGTCACACTTGCAGTCCAACAAACAGGAAGTACTTGTGAAGTCTAGTATGTAGCCTTAGGTGGATGCAGCATGTGAATGCCATCTCAATGTGTTCTGTTATGTGATCTGTTATGGCATGCATTTAATCCATTAGTATCTATGTTCGTGCTGCTTATTAGGTGGTAGTGTTTATTCTTTACAAATGCTTATACATTATGTGCTAGTAACAAATCAATGTTCTTTTATGGTTATTATCTGATAATACTTAACCATTTGCTAATAGCCATTGATTAGAAACTCGAAATAAACATATACAGTACCAGTTCTAATAATTTGATGCTAGTTCCTATTTAATAGATACTGAATATTCAGAACTAAATAGTGATTGATGACAAATGTCAATGAAAGATTGATTAGTTGGATTGATTGATTAGTTAGACAGTGAAATACAGACTACAATTTAATAAGTACCCATATCCAGTGTTTAAGTGTTTATTTTAATAAGTAATATCTGAAAACAAGTATTGGTATTTAATAAACAATATCTAGTATCTTTTAAGAGGGACTGTTACCTGAAGAGTATAAGCACTAGTACCTAGTGAGTTAGTTCTAGCACTTAATTGAAAAAATACTCTAAAAAAAAGTACTCGTAGCATATTTTGTATGTTATGTTAAACCGGCTTGCCATACTTATACAGATGTAGGTGTTTATTTCTGAAATATGATGTCAAAATCCATCTGAACACATAAGGTCTGATTTAAAGAGCTATTATGCTTTTAATGCTGATGTTTTGATGAAGCGTATACGATTCTACAACAACTGTAAAAATACATTACGCACAGCCTTCAGGGTTGTTTTTGGAAGCTATTTTGGGGTAATTCTGGGAAATGTAGCAGTGTTTGATTTGTAGATGTTTCAGTCTACGTGATTTAATCTCTTGCTTGATGAAGAGCATCTAAGGCAAGACATCTGAGGCAGAAACACTGTTTTTCATGCAACAGCTTCATTGCTTTTCTTTTTAAATGAAGATTTTAACTACAATGCATATTCTTACGACCGAATCCATCCAAATGAGTTCTATTCACAGTGTTTTGTGATTTATGAAGTGATGAAAACAGGTCCCCAAAATCCCTTGTAAAAAAAAACTTCTAAGCCTCTAACTCTTAATATACATTTTAAACCTCACTAGTAATGTGAGCATATTAGCATATACGTAATTAATAAAACAATGCTTATTTGCACATTTCAACCCCAGGAAGAATAGCCACCTTGGTAGTGGCTAATGAAAATCCTGATAAATAAATTAAACAAATAAAGAAATAATTAAATAAATAAATAAAAAACATATCAGTTTAGAAAACTTGCAATGCAGTTTGCACTAATGAAATCAAAATGGGAAAGAATGTGTTAGCAATTTTTTTTTCTTTTATCCTGTTCACTAACACTCTGTGTCTTCCGCAGAGGTGGACTCAAGGAGCACGACGTCATCATTTCCATCAACGGTCAGCGAATTTCCACAGCCACAGATGTAAGCGCGATCATCAAAAAGGAGAGCAGTTTGCGTGTGGTGGTTCGACGTGGAAATGAGGACATCATCCTTACTATCATTCCAATGGAGATTGACCCTTGACCCTGAACAGAGCTGCTGCTCATCCACCCAGCAGCCAATGAACTCACTGGGTGTGTCCCCTTTGCCCCGCCCACTCGAGGATCATCTGCCCAAAAGTCCGTGTTCTTGAAATGACTGGCAGGGTGAAAATCTCGGCCTGAGAATTTAGACTGTACAGAGCACATAAATGTAGATTCACATGTATTAATGTTTTTATCCATATCATCAGGAATGATTTAGAGGATGCTACTACTGTTTACTGTTCATCATAAGCCATTGGACATGATTAGATTTTTTTTCTCCAGAATATATATGCTATATTTTCCCCATTACCCATCAATTTAGCACACAGCTACTTTTTAAAGAACTTGTTTGGAGTTTCTAACCATTTTTTATAAAATATATTGAAATGTTTGTTTTTGAAAAGATTAAAAACCTTTTGATAATGCACTTTTCTACAGCAAAAATGTTTTACTTCATACATTTGCACCTGAAACAAATAAAAATAAGAAACAAAACATATGAAAACAATTACAAAATTGCTGGTACATAAAAAAGGCATTAATGGCAGTTACTGGTACTGTTTTGTTTGTTTGTTTGTTTGTTTGTTTGTTTGTTTGTTTGTTTGTTTAAATAATATAAAGCTTCCATTCAGCAAGGATGTAATAAATTGAAAAAGTTACAAAAAATACCATATATTTTTTATTGTTAGAGAATAAGGTTTCAATTTCAAATCACTGCTCTTCACAAATTTCACAAAAATATTAAGCAGCACAATGTCTTACCATTGTAAATATTTAGAAATGTTACTCCAAAGTCTATTACAACATTTATTAGGGATCATGTAACAATGTAGCAGTATGTATTTCTATTTTGTCAGATATGTTTCAGCATTGATATATAAATCCTACTGACCTTTAAATAGTAATGTAATTGTGTTTGGACACAAGATATATGGCAAAGTAAAAACTAATGTACATTTTTGTACATGAAAATGATTTACGTAACATTTACAGCTGCTCAAACTGTTTAAAGGAAGAAAAACAAAATGTCATGAAATTCTATCAGGGTGTTTTTGCTGTGCACACAACAAAGTCGACTGACATCACAAACTTTCGGTGTATGTCATGCATGGCACACAGCCATGAGCTGGCACAAACAGTCAGGAATCAGGCTTGTTATGAATACACCCATAAACTTTGCCAATACTGCTAGAATGTCCATGGTACAGCATGAGCAAACACTTGGTCTGTTTAAGCTTCATTTTGTTTAACATAACTCTTCTTGTCAGCTATAGTGGCATCATTCTGAAATATTTATGCATTATGTAAACTGCAGATTTTATAAAAAAAAGTATAACAGATGAAGTTATTGGAAACTACCCAATACATCAAAAGGATGTAAGGAACAGTGGAAAACCACAGCCTTTTTTAAAATAGTGAACCACAGACAAACCAATCGTCCAGTGTGCACTGCAGAAAACTATGATGCGTATGTCATCTAGTGGTGAGAGTGTGTAACTATTTTTTTTTATTATACCTATAATATTAATTTAGTGTTGCTTGTGTTTTTGTTTTTTGTTTTTTTTATTCTCAAAAAGATGGTAGTTGGTTGACTTGCACTTTATGAATCAACAAGGAATCAATGCGGTTTTAACTGAAAACTTGTTGTTCTGAAACAGTGACCTAGGCCTACGTTTAAGAAGACTCGAAGGTAAATACATAAAAATCTCATTTAAAATCGTTAATTAAATAATTAGGTTATTTTAAATGATCTTTCGTTGTTCCTACCCAAAACAAATTCCTTGTTTACGTAAAAACTTCCCATGTTTACGTTTTTAAGCAGAAGGGGGCGCTATCATACAGTAAAAGCATCAGTCCAGAAATCTATAAGGTTATTGTAAGGTTTATGGTTTGTGTATTCATTTATTCAGTCATTTTCTTTTCTTAGTCCCTTTATTAATCAGGGGTTGCCACCGCGGAATAAACTGCCAAGCACATCTTTTACGCAGTGTATGCCCTTACAACTGCAACCCATCACAGGGAAACATCCATAAACACTCATACACACACATACACTACAGACAATTTAGCTTACCCAATTCACACATATAATATAAGTGTACTATATATAATTATTTTTGATATATTTGAACATACATATTTACATGTATATTCCAACGGTTAAAGAAAATTTGTTAAAGGGCATTTTTGCAATATTTTTAATTATATTTTGCATATGGCATTGAAATCTATATAAACTTTTGTGTCATATATGTGATTTGCATATACTGCCATATCAGATTACAGTATATAAGATTGTTACATGGGGGTGAGCAAAAGAGACCACAAACCTTTGTGTGATAATGTAGGTAAAAAACAATTATTTATCAATAAATCATATTTTCTCCATAACTTAGTACCTAAATCAAGTCAACTTAAAAATCAAGTCAATAAAAAAAAAAAAAAAAAAATATATATATATATATATATATATATATATATATATATATATATATATATATAACGTTACATTTGTGCATATAGGTGCATGCTTTTGAATTTAAAATGATTGCCATTAAACTCCAAATTTGAGTGTATAAGGCTTATGAACTATGTGAGTTGATTATGTAATGGACCATGTTGGTACAACTGGTACCATTGATGCCTTGCTTTCATGCAGTGACCCATGACCTCATCCGAGGACACCAGTGTGACATCATCCATTACCTCAGTGGTGATGCTAGCTGAAGGTTTCTTCATCATACACATGCATCAGTTTAATTACAATATCTTTACTGTAAACAGTCGAAAGAATGAACAAGAGCGCAGATGAAAAGAGTTTCTGTGCCAGTAAACATTAGCATAACATTGTTTGGGTTTAAGAAAGTTCATTTATAAATGAAAAATCTGTCATCATTTATTCATTCTTGTGTTGCTCCAAACCCATACAGTATGTTTTTCTTTGCTCAGCGGATTACAAAAGGAGATGTTAAGTGGAATAAGAGCCTTTCACACAGTAACACCATTCATTGTATTTAAAATGTGAATGTTGCTTGAGGCTGTCAATTGCTAACTTTCAAAACAGTGTAATATCTCCTTTCATATTCCATGGAAGAAAAACAGTCATACATATTTGAAGCAAAATGATGGTAAGTAAATGGTGAAATTTTGGTCTGTTTAATGCGGTCATTAAAAAATAAAAACATATTTAAGACCCATTAAAGGGAGTTTAACTAAAAAATGTATATTACCTTACCACTCACACTCAAGTGGTTTTAAATGTGTATGAATTTCTTTCTTCAGTTGAACACAAAGCAAGATATTATGAAGAATGTTTTGAAAAGCAGCCACTGATATCAATTGTTATAAAAAGAAAATACTTTAAAAAAATTAATAGTTGTTTTTTTCCAATATTCTTGAGCATCTTGATTTTGTGTTCAACAGAAGAAGAAAACCAAGAAAGGATGAGTAACTGATTACAGAATTTGTGAACAAGGAACAGACTTAACTTAGAATTTTACGGCAACAAACTTCATGACATTTTTGAGTTGACTCAACTGTCAATTCAATTACTGCACGATTTAAGTAAACTCAAAAATGTCCTAAAGTTATAGTTGCTTTAAAATTTTAAGTTGAGTCAACTTTTTTACAGTGAAGGAGGAACTAGCAATTAGACTTAAAGGCTTAAAATCTTTTTGAATGAGCCCTTACTGAGTTTGACATATATTAATGATGTAGATCACTTTCAAAATATATTTTAAGCTGATAAACAGTAGAAATCGTCACCTTAGAATTATAAGGTTCTATCTGACATTTTTGTCAAAACTGAGTTATTCACATATTCCTAATAAATGACAACTTATTTACATTATGTGATTTTTTTTACAAGTTGTTTACATTTTAAGACTTTTTATTTAAAAAACAAATGTTACACACATACTGTTTGCTGGGAATGCAAAAACTTTAAAGCTCATTATCTCAAAATCTTTGAGAATGCAGATAGAACCTTTTAATTCCAAGGTGACGAAATGCTGACAGACAATAAGAATCTATCTCTAGCAATTAAAGTGGCATCCATCTCAACACATTAAAGCAACTGCTTTATTTAACTGCTTGACTGTTTAAATATGCAAATAAGGCATAATCTAACCAAATGCATTCATTTACATACATTACATAAAGCCAGGTAGAAAATCCCACTTTTATTAATTTAACATATTAGATTTAAAGTAAAAAAAAAAAAACTGTAAATTGTTTTTTTTTAAGTGATAACAATAAACAAATAAAAGCAAACTACAAAATGTAGAGTAAAACAGTTATAATAAAAAAATTGTTAAAATAGAATAAAATAGGCTATATGCTATAATTAGTAAAGTTTAGTGCAGAAGTCACATTATTCAGAGACTATGGGCCACAAATATATACATTTTAATTAAAACCTACAAATGCAATAAACACAAAAGTTTGTTTACACACTTCTTTTTAGGTGGAAATTTCATAAGGTAAAAAAGAAGAAATTAGCAATTCCATATAAATGTCAACTTTCCCATATAAAATTAGGGTTTTCACCAAAATAGCAAAATCTTTTTTTTATGTTGTTTGCCTTGTATTTTATAGAACTGTAAAAATTCTTAAAAATGTCTCGGCCAATGATTTCAAACAATTATTTTTGATTTACTAAATTCACACAAGTGCCAATTTCACATCCGTCACATCCATTACCGAGAGATGTCACATCTATAACAAAGCTTTTTCCTTATAAATGCAAAAATGTTAAATCAATCATATTTCTTCTTTAGTGAGACAACTCTTATCATTTTGATTAGAATTACTATTTTTACTCATTTAAAATCTAAAAAATGTTTACAGCTTGATATGTTTCTGATCTCATAACTCTGTGCTTAGTTTGTTTTTTTTTTTTTTTTTAGAAAAGAAAAACAGATATTTTAATATAAAGTTAACATAAACTTTCTATGTGAATTTATGTTTTGAGTTTTTAATTTCACATTCATAACTGGAATTGCTCAAATGTTATTGAAACGAAATACCAAAGTCCACGAATGTTTAAACCTTAATACAAATCGAACAAAAACTTTTTGAAAGTGACCAGTTTTGGGTAAAAAAAACCCGAGAAGTCTGATGGACAGGAGTCTGATGGATAGCTCGGAATGTAGTCATTTTGATTGACGTGTAAGAACCATTCCTCATTGGACAACCCAAAGGCGTGGCGTATAACTGTGCCACGCAGCTTGATGCGAAGGTTATAAATATTAATAGGCCAAGCTGACGTTGCTTGGTAACCTTGGAGCATCCAGTCGCGTTTCCTAATTAATATTTACAAGCCTTCCATCGCCATAGTGGGATTCGCCACCTTTCCGTCAATCAGAGTTTACTGGTCGAACGTCACGCAGCCTGATTAATATTCATGAGACAAGCACGGAGACTCTTTAAAGTTAAATAAACGCCGCGCCGCGACTTGTGTTGCACACAGTGTGCAGCGGCGCGGAGGGATAGACAGCAAACTCAGACCAACAGAGCTGAACTTCAGACTTTTCCTGAAAATGACGTCCATTTGTCCAAGATGCGATAAGACTGTGTTTTTTGGTGAGCTTTTTAAAATAATGTTTCTACAGCTATCACTCAGAAGTGTACGTCTTGTTCATTTAATTGTTATTGTATCACTACTGGACTAATTGACCAAATTTGAAGGGCGTATGTTATATATGCAGAAAAGTTATGGATTTATTTTTAATTATAAGTAATTTATGCATGATTCATGTAAGTTTTTAAAAGCGTTTTGTCTGTCAGTTTGTAGTGTGAATGGATCAATTATGTTTTGTTTTGGGGACTCTTAAAATGAACATTCTGTTAAAAAAAATAGCCCTCTCTCTATGTGTTTGAATGTATATCATTTGTAAACTGAAGTCCTCCATAGATGCTATTTCTTTTGGGATTTTAGAAATTGATATTAATACATGCAATGGATTTCTATAAAATAATAATGTTATTTTCCTATGTTTATGTACACATACACTTCTCTAATAGTACCCCTATATTGATCTTATGTATTTTTACACAGTATCCTCACTCATTATTATGACTAGTATGTGTCTGCAAGCATTAAATTTATATATCTAGTGAGTTTTAAACGAGCCAAAGTAAAATATTTAGGGTAAAATATTAGGTTAGTTTCAAAGTTACTTTTGTTATCTTTCTTGCATACAGCATGGGCATCTCTGGGACCCCAATCTGTCAGTCTGAAGAAGACGAGTTTTCATCTCGCAGCACTAAGCATTGTTATTAATAGGTCAAGCACAAGTGACCCGTTGCTCCCACAAGCACATTGGAGGTTGTTCCCTAGCCTGTCTCATCGTTGTCGGCTCCTGTTTAGTATTCTGTCCCGCTGTCCAGTGGCTGCAGGGTTAGTAAATGCTATAGCCCATGAAAAGAGAATTGGGTGACAGTGTTACATAAGAATTTGGCAATGGAGGCTAGAACAAAGTGAGAGGATCTGTTGTGCTACTGTTGCAGGTTAGCGGATGGAGTGACTCTCGTTTTGGCTACATTGAAGCTGTGATATGTCAGCTTGATTATTTGATATTCCCAATGAGCCTGGACATCTGAATGTGTCTGTGTCTGTGTGCTCTCAGTTTGACCTGACTCTTTTTATGTGGCGGAATGTGTGTGTGTGTGTGTGTGTGTGTGTGTGAGAGAGAGAGAGAGAGAGAGAGAGAGAGAGAGAGAGAAAGAGAGAGAGAGAAAGAGAGAGATAGACCCTACTAGGAATGTTGGCTGGTTTGTGTGGAAGGCACCGGGGAGGTGGGTTTAGTTCCCACATCCACTCTGTCAACTCCTTTGTGAGGTATTTTATTAGTACAGAAAATATTATAAAATAGAATTTATTTATCATTAGGGTTTTTTGGTGGGATATTGATCTTTGTGTCACTTGTATTTCTGACTTCTGTACTCCAAAGTCCACAACTGTTTACTGTGCATTTGCTAATGGCAAACTATTGATTTTGTTTTTGGTGGTGGTGGTTGTTGATCTCAAAGAGCCGATAGAATAAGTAAATGTATGCAAACAATTTGTTTAGTGCAATGGAAGTTTAAAACATTAAATGAAGTAAACTCTTGATCATTTAAACGTTTGGTGTTGGAAAATGGCTGCATTTATTTGGTTGAAAATAAGGTAAAATCTGTAATATTGTAAAATATTATAACAAATTAACTGTTCTTTGTTTTAGCTTTGCTTTTTTATTTTCAGAACTCCAAATACTGTTGTTGTGTAAACAAATGGCCAAAATGTACTAAATATTTTCTATTTTAGTTGAAGGTGCTGTGTAAATTCCATTTATTACTTGAAAACTTGCAACACTTTACTTGAAGGGGTGTTAATAGGACTCTCTTTACACCTTTAAAATCATGACATGATACATGCCATGACCATGAACGAGTTTTTATGCATACTGCTACAGTATTTACAAATTTCATTAAGTGTCATTAGCTGTTATGTCTTTTAAATGCAAAGATGATGTGGTTTGAGATGTCTTTGTTATAACAAATAGACATCACCAAGACATCAAAACCAGTCAATGTCTTTGTCTTGACAGAATGAGATTACAAAGACAATATAACTTGTCATAACTCTGTTATAAACACGATTGTCATTAAAACTTTCTTGAATATTTTTTTGATCATTTATTTTATTAAAGTTGTCAATACTCTGTCAAATAATTTTATAACAGCGTCATTACATTAAATGACATTTTTATGAAAAACTCAATTTGTACCACTGTAAGAAAAATATTATTGATGAAAAATTCATGATAATTATAATGGCATCATGATAATCATGTTTATGACATATTTATGACAAGTTATGTTGTCTTGGTTATGTCAAATTGTCATGACAAAGACAGGTCGTGATGTTTTTGTTTATGCCATATCAACAAAATCTCAAACAATATTTAAAATTAGATAAGTGAACGAATGACACTTAATGACGGTTGTCAAATGCATGCATAAAATCTCATTCATATTTATGAATCATGTCATGATTATAAAGAATTCATAATAGTCTTATAAACACTCCATTAAAGTACTTCAAGTTACCCACAATCCACAATTTATATACATATAGCCTTGGTCTCCTCTAAAAAAAGTCAAAACAAGATGGGGGTTTAGAGGGGTCACTCTGGTCTGTTTTTTTAAATAATGTTAATAATTACAGTAATAGATATCCATTTGACAACCCCTTTAACAATTCATACAATTGTGAATGCTTTATCGTGTCAGTCAGTCTAGGTGGGAAAAAAAGTCATTCAACAGTCTGAAACTGGCAGATTTAGAGCACCGATAGACATCGTAAGAGTTCGCAAGACTGTTTTCTCATAAAATATTTGTTTCTACATTTAGCCTAAAAGTAAAGTCAAATTAGATACATAGTTTGTATACTTTAAAGCTGAAATAGCTAATTAGACTAGAATACATCAAATAGCTTGTATAACACAATACATGTATTACACAAAGTAACACTACAAAAAAGTTGACCCCCCAATACAATTTTAAAGTGTAGTATATCTACTTTTTCATCAGTATATTTCCTTCTGAATTATCAGTGATTTTTTTTGTTTATTCGATTATGCACAAAACTGCTTGTGAAGACCAGAAGGTCAGAGACAAGATGCACTTTTCAACATCCGCTTGATAGGAGCAGATCTGACTCAGCAGGGTTTGCCTCCAGTTTGTTCTTTCCTCGGCTTTGATGCTGCATTGTTCAGCTGCAAACACACACATACAGTACAGTACAGACCCCACCCTTAAGACTTAGTAGTTTGTGTGGACAGTCTTTTGCAGAGCCTTGTAAAGTACTGTTTGTAGAAACATCTATATATGTATAGATATATATTATGCACAAACACACACAAAATTGCAGTTCTGTGTTAAGCTCCATTTCAGGAGTTGCTGAGCTGAACAGACCTGTAATGATCTTGGATGGAATGTAGAGTAACAGTAATTATATCATAAAATAATGTAAATAAGCATTTTGAGTACTGTAAACTACCTTATAGATGTTTTGAAAAGATACACTTTTGAAATAAATGTAAAAAAATTGTCATGCTCACCAAGGCTGCATTTATTTGATGACAAATACAGTAAAACTTGAATACTGCAAAATATTTTGTGTTTTAATATATTTGTAGTTGAAATTTAATATATACCCTTAATGGCATTGTTGGTGTAATGTGAAGTGGACGCTAACAACGGAAGTGTGAATCCAAATGCAGGGTTTATTATGCAGAGAATGGTCAGGCAAGCAACAGTCAACACAGGAGCAAACAGACGTATATGGGCAAATCCAGAGTCGTGGTCAATAAGTAGGCGAATGGTCAGTACAGGCAGGCAGGCAGCAAGCAACATAAAAAAAAAAAACGTGAGGGTCAACAAGGAAAGGCAAGGCAAAAAGTTGTAATGTTCGCAAGACTCAGCAATACGTGTGTGTTTGAGAGGTGTATAAATATTCCTGATGAATGTAATGAGTTCTAAACAGCTTCAGCTTTCTCTGTTTGCAATCATGGGGATCTAGGCAAGGTGTGTGAGTGGTGCATGACTGGATATGTAGTTCTTTTGCTGGTAGATTTGTAGTTCTTCAGCAATCTGCATGGTCTAGATTGCTGGTGACTGTGACAGTTGGGTTCAGAGAGCATATTTAATTTTCTGATTTGGTGGAATCTGTTTTGAAAAATCTTTTTGTGTTTTTACCATCACTTCTGATGCATTTATTGCTTGTTTGCGGAATAAATGTATACTTTTCTTTTTAGTGAAAAAGGTACAAACATTTAAACCTAAATGTGTATTTTAAATATTGTTTCCTTTAAATTAGGGCCGTGTGATTAACTGAAATGTAATCACAATCACGATTTATGTAATGAAACATTGCGGTTAGCTAATCGCAAGAGGCTGCTAAATGAAATATTTATGCATTATTTAATTTCCCCTGCCTAGAACAAATGCGTGACTGTTGTCTGTTTGTGATAGTTTTACTAGCCAATTGAGTGAGCACACTTTCGTTATACCCAATTAGAATTGCGCAACCAAACTATGCGAAACACCCACAATAAAAAACTAAAATTTTAGTAGTAAGAAGCTACAATACAGACGATTGATTATTGAAGCTTGACTACAATTAAATCGCAAATCAAATCGAAACAAAATCGCAATATCTGTCAAAAAAATCACAATTAGATATTTTCCCTAAATCGCACAGCCCTACGTTGAATTCATTGATATAAAATGAAAAGGCCACATTTTGATAGCACAGCAATGTTTTTACTGTTTTTTAACATATTCTTTGGTCAACTAAGCAAAAATGTCTGTCCAAGGATCTTAAAACAGAGGCCATAAAAAAGAGATATAAAATGACCAAATCGAAGTTTATCATTAAAGGACAACTGCAGTCTTGTTGACTTTGTATAAATGAGATATTAGTGCAGATCAAGCTATCCTCTTCAGCATTATGTACAGTATCGCACAGTGATCAGATAACACATTACACTCTCTTCTGTTCTAGCTGAGAAAGTAAGCTCTCTGGGGAAAAACTGGCACCGGTTCTGTCTAAAATGTGAACGATGTAGTAAGATTCTGTCTCCTGGAGGACATGCGGAGGTAAGCAGAACTGATGCTCATACTGTAGATTGAAATCTCTCTCTGATCATTCTGTTTTTCCCTCTGAGTGCGCTTTTCATTTCTTTCTTTCTTTCTTTCTTTCTTTCTTTCTTTCTTTCTTTCTTTCTTTCCTAATTATTTTTTTTCAAGAGTTCGTTCCTTGCTTAATTTTCTTGTTTTTTAAAGGGTCACAACACATTTTTGAGATGTTGACAGTCATTTATGTGCCCCATGCTGCTAAAAATACTATTAAGACATATATTTTACAAAAATAGTGAAAATTGGTTGTGTTTGCGTTATTTCGAGCAAATACGTTCTTCCGGTTTGAAAAGAAATTTTGAAACTACGTTATGGCTATGAGATCCTTGTGTACCTTTTTAAGGTATCCCATTTTTCTTTTGCGCATTCATTTTCGTATTTCTATGTCTTTTTTTTTTTTTTAAGAGTCTATTTTTTCCTCAGTGTGAACTGCCGACGACTTTGATCACTCAGCACAGACATGATCCCTAAAGACAGACAAATCTTAGACTGCAACTCTAGATGTCCTACTTCTGGGTATATATGTAGTGGTTTAGTTCCTCAGGGTGAGGGCTACATGTACACAGTGTTATCATTTAGCAAAGGATCACACAACCAACTCAAGCCATCAAACTGACACTGGTTTGGTCAGTCCTCTTTAGTCGCTCCTCATTGTGCTTTTTTTCTCCCTTCTTTTTCCTGTTCTAATTGTCCTGACATGTTCACTGGTCTTGTCTGATATGTTAGGAGACATTTTGTAGGTCAGTTAGTTGCATTATTGTGTCCTTGTATGGGTTAAGTGATTGTTCATCCATCCCTCTAAAAGTCTACACTCCACACAGACTTGTCACTCTTCACAAGAAGAAGATTAGAGGAATTGAAAGTCCTAAAATGACTGTAAACACAGATAATAAGTATTTATGGCAAGCTCGCTGAATCTGCCTGGAATGTTTTCTGACAGTCAGGGAGATATTTTAATTACAGTTATATTATTATTTATGTATTTATTATGGATGGGAATGTTTCAGCATGTTTGTTTTCTTTAAACGGTTACATTAAACTATTCCCATACTCCTTCTAAACTCTGAATGTAGAGATACAGTAGCAAAAAATAAAAAACAAGGAATAAATATTATGTGCAAGTGTTTGTTTTTCCTCAGGTTTACAGGACAAAACAGAAAAGAGACTAATAGACAGGAACAGTTGGGTAAAGACAGGCTGACTGTAGTAACAGGAAGTGAAAACGATTCTTTTAGTCTGGGTTTTGGTTTCAGCACTGCTTGTTTTTTTGCAGGAAATGTAATCATAATATTAACTTCATTGAAATTCCTGCAGAAATTGGAGTTATCTTTCATTTTAAAAGGACATGCTCAGCTACTACAGTTCAGATCATTTAACTACATGTAGATAGGCCCTATCTATAAGTATATGTACTTGCTCTTCCACACTCGGTGTTACTGTGGGTCTTTACCAGAACTATCACAAGGACAACAAAGAGACAAAGATAGTGTTCATTCAAAGCAGAAAACAATCATCTGCCTTTCTGCCTCTCTTTCTTCACCCTCCTTCTCTCTCTCTCTCTCTCTCTCTCTCTCAACACAAGCATGCTTGCTTGCACACAAACAGTCACACATAGCTTTAGTTTAATTATAAGGTGAGTTTGGATTTGAAGGAGGATTATTTCTAATGCTTTTTCATTTGTTTTGATATAAATGGATGGACGAATAGCTCGTCATTGTCTCACAGAAGGATATATTTAGATGTTACTATTTTATCACAGTTGCTGTGTTCACCTTTCTTTTGAGAACTGTGTGTGCTGCTCTTTATTTTATTGTGTTCCAAACAGCTGGAGGTTGGTCGGCTCTCTGCAGGTGTTTACTGCCTGTTTTACTCTATTCTTTAGTAAATTGCTCTGGTGTGCTATATTTTTAGCCTGTCACAATAGAGTTCTCACTGAATGTTTTATTGTTTTAAAATACTGTTTTGGAAACCACTTGGAAATGTAAATAGGATGTTAATATTTGTATTATTCTATATCTGATAACATTTCCAAATTTCATATAAAAATATGAGCATCTACAGCATTTTTATGTCTTTAATTGTCTAAAACTAAAACCATATCATAGAAAATTGTCCTTTTATTTTACATTTTAAAAGAAATGTAGTTTGTTAGTAGTTTGCATACCAAAATAAAGTTACAGTAAATGCATACATAAATCGTAAATCTCTTAAGTTGTTAATCTTTTCCTTTTTATTTGTGGTATTTTTTATAGAACAATTACATAAAGTCTGTTTATAAATATTTTTTTCAAGTAGCTCAATTTAACATGCTATTTTGACTTAAAAGAGAACTTTGTTTTTTGTCCAACCGCTTTCAATGAAATGCACGCGCACAAAAATAGATGTGTGTGTGTGTGTGTGTGTGTGTGTACAGAAGCTTGAATTTCAGTCAGATTTGAGTCTGACTGGGTCTTTTTATGCAGTCTGGGAGGAGCAGGAAGGAACAGAAGGATAAACAATGACCTCTAATGAATCCAGCAAGGCATAAGCATCTCTCTCCCTCTCTCTTTCTCTTTGTATGTTTTGTTTTTCCCTTTTTCGTTTGCAGCACTGTACAAAACTCTTCAAAATGAGCTTACACTAACCAATAAAAATATTCTCTCTTTTTAACAGCATGATGGATTGCCTTATTGTCATAAACCCTGTTATGGAACCCTCTTTGGACCAAAAGGTGTGTACTCTCATGCAACTCTGAGACACTTGAAAATTTAATTTAATGTGCATATGTGAGACTCTTTAAGCTATTTGCTCTTTGCACTTTTTTGTGTGAATGTAAAGGAAATAAAGGTTTTAATAAGGGCTCATTTAGAGAAATTTGACTCTCATTGACTTTTAGAATAACCTTCCAACCAAAGACAGTGCACTTACCACTAGAAACCTTATCCTCTGCGTGTGTATGTGTGTGTATGTGTGTGTGTGTGTGTGTGTGTGTGTGTGTGTGTGTGTGTGTGTGTGTGTGTGTGTGTGTGTGTGTGTGTGTGTGTGTGTGTGCATTGTATTCCCTATTATGTTGTAGCAATACCAGTAAGTTTTGACCTTGTGGGGACATTTTTTGGTCCCTTGAGAAAAATGGCTCATAAATCTCACAAGATCAATTATTTTGAAAAATGTAAAAAGGCAGATTGTTTTTGTTTCCTGTGAGGGTTGTGTTTAGGGATATGGTCAAGGGAATGGGCATAAAAATGATTTTGTGATGAGTTAAATATCAGGAAAAATTTAATTTTTATCTTTTGGAAAAAAAAAAAACATTTAAAAAGAGAAAATGGACTAGATCACTGTATCCTTTTGTGTTTATATGGGTGAAATTATGTTATAAAATTTTAAGTTAAACAGTACTTCACTGTTGGTCGAACATTGACTAACTTTTCTTTGGTTCTTTATTTGTTTTTAACGCTGAATTTATTCTTTAAACTATAAAGTAGATGTTCCTGCAGATGTGGAATAACAAGAGTATAGTTAATAGTGACTTTTTGGGGTTGAATTGTTTTTTTGTTGGTGGTTGAGATCATTCAGATTAAAGTAGATCTTCCTGGTTAGATCAGATTTTACAGGGCTGTTTCATTAAATACCCTAATTTAAAATTCTAATGAGATCCTTTCCTCATTAAAGCAGATGACACGATCCGCTACTGAACTGTTGATGTAAGTTTTTTCGCAATCTGTCAAGTGCGTCTTTCATGTTAGTGCTCAGTTTAAAGCATAAACACTAGTAAATTAACAAACCTGTGTTCTGTGGAAGGTATATGAATACCTTGTTTTGGTGTGCATTCTAATAAAACATACCATAAAGGTCATGTTAGATTAGGTAGTTTTGGATATAGGAATGTGGGTCATGGTGGCGCAGTGGGTAGCATGATCGCCTCACAGCAAGAAGGTCACTGGTTCAAGCCCCGGCTGGGTCAGTTGGCATTTCTGTGTGGAGTTTGCATGTTCTCTATGTGTTTGCGTGAGTTTTTTTTCGGGTGCTCTGGATTCCCCCACAGTCCAAAGACATGCGGTACAGGAGAATTGGGTAAGCTAAAATGGCCATTGTGTATGTGAGTGAATGCAAGAGTGTATGGGTGTGAAAATCAATGAATGAATGTTTATAAGTATTTTTGGACTATTTAAACATTCGACCACTTAAGGTTTTTCCAATACAAAAGCAGTCCCTTTAAAGACATAGTGTGTCATTTTCGCCACTAGAGGGTTTGTATTTACAACATACAAAGCCATTATTTGATGACGCTGTGACTGAGTGTGGAATTATGGGATTGTCATCCTCATTACTTGCTACAGGAATTCTGCCAAAATCATGTGCATGGATGTGCTTATGAAATTAAAATCTGACTATCAAGGTAGTATGAAGCAAAGTAATTCTAGTGTAATGCAGCATTTAAGCAGTAGAGCTTTTATTATGCCACAGTCCACTGCTTTCAGTCATTCTGGTCATGATCTAATGGAAAAAAGCAGTGTTGTTTAATCATACTAAATACATGTTAGGGTTCTGTTGTAATGGTGCCCTGTGCAGTCTAATAAAACACACAACATATTAAAGCATCTTTAGTGTTTCACAGTTTTCTATAAAATAAACCAAAAGTGGTGTATGATATCATTAGCATGGTGACAGGATATGGTGCATTTCACTACTTACAATTGCTTATTTATCTGGATTTTAACAAACATTTGTTTTTTTTTTTTGTTTTTTACATATTTTACATTTAAATGTATTTATGAAAACATTTTAGAGCCCCACCTGAATTTAGCATTGTTCACTTGAATACAAGGCATGGCAACCTACCCATGGACGCATGGCCCTAGCCGTAGCCGTCAGCGATGCTTATGCGCACCTCTCAAAAAATGTAACTTCACGTCGCAACGACATGTATCACAAGCTATGTAATTGGTCGGCTTTGTAGCGCTGACGAGTGTGGACGGAGGTGTGAGCCAAGCAAGTATTTTTTGTGTTTACCTTATGATTAAAGTTGTTGCAAGTCCATTGATTCTAGCCTCAAAATGAGCAAGTTTGAACCACTTGTACATTAAGGTAGCGTTCAGAAAAAACAAAACACCAACAAACAAACTCGACACAGAGGAACATAAACACCCCACTGCCAGCTAGCATTTCAGAAATAGCTTTCTCTGATCTCTGATATCTATCTTACATTTTACATAAATGTACATTTTTTTACATAATTAAAAAATGTATAAAATAAATATACATTTAAAATATAAATATACATTAAATAACAATATTTAAATATACATTCTTAAAAAAAAGAAAAAAATAGACATAATTTGTATAGTTTGACCCACAGTAACCTCTACGATTGTCACGAAATATCCCTTAAAATGCTGATAACGTATGTTTTTTTTTTTTTTTTTAAAGGATGTAATTTCAATACTTTTATAAATGTAATTCACTAATGCACGTATTACATAACTACTACCGAAAAAAAGTTGACCCCTGATCATGTACTAAGTTGACCCCTGGTTGTACTACTAAGTGTGCTGCCAATTGGTAAAACTCTATAGGTTTCATTTTATGAATGTGCTGGTTTCAGCTTGAATTATACTATTTAAATGTGTGTGTAATTTAGGTGAGACATTTTATCTGGACCTGAAGGGGATATTTTGGGATTTTGTTTATCTGCTTTAGGAGAGTCTGAACACTTAGATAGAAGCTTTATCACACATGCTCATGTGGTAATGGAATGGCACTCACTGTTCTGTCCTTTCATTGGTAGGTGTAAATATTGGAGGGGCGGGCTCTTATATATATGACACGCCTCCTCAGACGCCAGTCAACAAAACATGCAACAGCCCTTCAGAAGGATCCCCAACCACACCTTGGACCACCTCACAGATCAACTTCAATCAACCTAAAGGTGATTTTGACACATGCACTAATGTTTGGGCACAATAAGATGCATTTTAGTGCACATTGTTGCTGTATTATCAGTAGGCCTACATGGAATCTGCGTGCAGAGAATTCTGCAGATTTTTGGCCCATCATTGAGTCTATTTATTTACTTGTGTGAATGTAAATTTATGTAAATTTATATTTGTTCAGTTTTTAAATGAACTTCAGGATTATTATTGACTAATATGTAAATGTTCTTTTGACTTATTTACAATACAGTTTGTAAGTAATATCTAAAAAAGTCTTTTAGTAGATATAGACTATATGAAAGACTTGCTCTGTTTACCAAACAAGTGTGGATCTAAATTGACAATAGTAACAATACTCCCAAAATAATTCCACATAAATCCACAGATTTTTTACAAAATTCTCTGCAAACTCTGTCTGGCTCTAATTATCAGTTACATATTGCACTACATTGCAGTATTCTGAGTTTAAATATTGCCCACCCAATGCATGTTTGGTTGTGGTTGGTAATGTGTTGTTGTTTTTTCTGTCTGAAATTTAAATGTACAATTTTTAAACAATGAGGGAGCAATGGACAAACAGAAAGCCCTGTCCTCACCTTAACATTACATCAACACTACATCAATATTACATCAAGATACTGAAGTAGAAGTCTCAGTAACTTTTGGTTCACACAAACTTTAAGATAACTAAACTTCTAGATCATTTGAAGCCTTTATAATCACAATATTCTGAGTGCAAAGATTCAATGTTGTCAGGAGTTTAAAGGCCCCATGAAATTAAAGTTTTTTAGATGTTAGTTTCAGTATTGTTAGTTTTAAGGTATCTAAAAGTGACAAAATTCATGTTTAAAAAATAAAAACTGATAGAAACATGTAAAGCTTGTAGTTTGTCACTTCTGCCTAAACGGATCAGTATATTTATTCACATCACCTCATACTCTAGTTTATCATCAAATCATAACCAATCAAATGCTCTCTAGTATCTGATATGCCCCACCTCCTTCATTCTCAATTGCTTTTATTTTTTTTACTTTTTTTTTTAATGTCAGGATAACAAAAACAGCATCATAAACATTTGTGACATAGATTGTACATGAGTTTTACAGACAGGTAAAGCATCAAATAAGCACATACAAGAAAATAAACTAAAAAAACAAGCAGATAATAAAAAAATTGTGTTAAACAAATTAAAAAAGGAAAGTAAGTTAAGAGATCTAGCATTAAGATTTTTAGAGGAAATAGTAGCTCTAATGTACCGTTGAAGTCCCTTTTCAAAAACAATAAAGAAGGAATATGTTGAGACAATTTACAGAAATATATATGGACTTTTGCAAGAATTAAAAGAAGGTTAATAATGAAATTATTACTTTTATCATTAAGACTATTGAAAAAAACTCATTAGAATATTACTTAAAAGAAAACAAGAATTCTTCTTATTTGCTTTTCATTGGATGTGCTTGATCTCAACCACTCTCACTAACAATGATAAAACAAAATGCTATTGAGGAGGAGCTACACTATGTCCCACCCTCTCTTTGTGTTTTGGATGAGATTACATCAAACATAAAATAAAAATGCAAATTTCAAAGGACTTCACGAGACCTTTAAACTGACAAAGCTTTGAAATGCAGATGTTTTATTTGTTGTTGTCAGAGCAACAAAGCACAAGCTGTTAAAAAGTAACAAATTGTTTGCATTTAAAATCACATAAAAAGAATGTTTTTGTGTGTGTGTTTTTTTTTTGTTATTATGTCTTATTTTATATTAAATCTTGTAAAAGATCATAATTGGGCTTTAGTAATGTTATCCAGCAAGAGTGGACTAGACATGGATTGAATTTTATTTAGAGATGTCAAAGAGGTAAAACGGTGGCTCAGTGGTTAGCACTGTCACCTCACAGCAAGAATGTCACTGGTTCGAGACTCGGCTGAGCCAGTTTACATTTTTTTGTGGAGTTTGCTTGTTCTCCCCGTGTTGGGTTTCGCATGGGTTTCCCCCACAGTACAAAGGCATGTGCTATAGCTGAATTGGAAAAACAAAATTGGCTGTAGTGTATGAATGTGGGTGTAAATGTGAGATTGTATGGGTGTTTCCCAGTGCTAGGTTGCAGCTGAAAGGACATACACTGCGTAAAACATATTCTGGAATAGTTGGTGGTTCATTCCGCTGTGATAAATAAGGGACTAAGAAACAGGAAAAATTAATACATTAATAAAAATGTTAAAGAGCATATACATTAAAAGATAGTTGTGAGAACACTCAAAGGAAAAACAATTTGACACTTTCTAGTCCATTCATTCATTTTCTTTTCGGCTTAGTGTCTTTACTGATCTGGGGTCGCCACAGCAGAATAAACCGCCAACTTATCCAGCATATGTTTTACGCAGCGGGTACCCTTCCAGCCGCAATCCATCACTGGGAACAACCATACACACTCATTCACACACACATACACTATGGACAATTTAGCTTAGCCAATTCAATTACACCGCATGTCTGTGGACTTGTGGGGGAAACCAGAGCACCTGGTGAACGCGGGGAGAACACTTTCCAGTTGTCAAACATTAGTCATTTACACCAGTTACTCCAGTTAAACTTGAGATAAACAGACTTCACCCATCTTCTAAAATCACATTCATATCAGTTGCTTAAAGTGACTGAAAAGGTCTAGAAAAATGTAATCTAGCATCATTAGACTTTAGATGTCACTTGGTTTATTATTGTGTCTTATAATGCCATTCAGTCATGCTTAAATGTGATTAAAGTGTGCAAATGTGACAATACGCTATTTTTAGCCACTGTACATAGGCACACTCTTCCGAGCTGCATTGTTCCACACATTCCATTATACAGTAACACTTCCTCAGTACTTTTTAACACACACACACACACACATCACACACACACACACACACACACACACACACACACACACTCTCACATTGAGTGGGAGACAGAAATACTTAAACGTGTGTGTGTGTTGTAACGGAGGCCTGGGAGGATGCTTTTCTGAACTGACCCCCTTGGGATTTTACGTGATGGAATTTTAATGGGCTTCGCTGATTGGCTCCTTTCCTAAAATATTTCCCCTTAATAGGTGTTTTCCGACAGGCGGGACAAAAAGGAATGTTAGGGGAGGGTTTTAAGGAGCAATGTGGAAACGTCTGGAGAAATGAGGGTTTCCTAAACACGTGAGCAAAGCACTATGGGACGTCTTTGATAAAAAGAATAGAGGAGAAGAGATTGGGATCTTAAACTGCCAACGGTTTGTCACTGATGTGAGACAGAAGTGTTGATTCAAAGTCTGTGGATGTTTAAACGGAAATGCCATGGATCCTGATCAAAAATTTAGTCACAGCATGTGGACTTCAAAAGTTAGGAAATCATATTTAATGTGAACACAGATGTGAATATGTGTATTTAAATTGATATAAAGTTCTTGTTTTGGTTTGTAGCTGCCACTGCTCCAGCACGCATGTTTGCTGGAGAGACGTATCTGTGTCCTGGCTGTGGAAAAGCAGTTTATTTCGGTGAGTCCAGAGAATCAGAACTCTGACTTTTCAGACATTTGAGAGCTTTCAGGAATGTCTGTGGTGTGTGTGTGTGTGTGTGGTTTTTGTGCTGCTGTGGTGGTTGTGTGCAAGAATTTAAGTGTATTTAAAAGAGAACAACAAGAATTCCTTTTTAAAAAATCATATATTTTATAGTTAAAGTTTATGTATAAAGTTCTAAGTTATATATAAACTTTAACTTTAAAACAATATGTTTTCTTAAATGGAATTATTGCTGTTCTTTTGCTGCTTTTGTCACGATCAAAAACAACAACAGTCAACTTTGAACTTTATACAGTATGAAACCTTTTTTGTTTTTGATGGTAACTTTATACTGATTATACTACAATCCCACATGTGAAAACCTTTTGTTTGTGGGGGTTTTCTAGCCCTAATTTTTGTGAATAATTTCAAATGATATTAATTGAACATATATTATATACTAGTTTTATATAGCAGGTTTTGTCACTATATATTTTTATTACATAATTCTATATTATTAAACTTCATTAAAGTATATTATTAAATAAATATAAGTTAGGGATGCTCCAATCAGAATTTTTGCAGCCAATTCTGAGTACCAATTCTTGGTGATCGGCCGATACTGATTCCAATGCTTCAAGTTTTAGAAAGCATTAGGCACATTTTCACTATAAGTATGATACTCAAGTGGAGATCTCACCTTACCTAAGAGAATAAATGAAGGATGCTGCATATAATACCTTAAACACATCTCTTATAACCATTTACTGTGGAAATGTCATGGCCATAAGCAGCTTTACAGAAAATAATATAACAGATATAAATATTTGAAGAAAAATTACAAACAATGCAATTTGGAAACATTGCAAAATGATGAAAGAATAATTCAACATGTCTTAATCAAGAAAAAGTTGAGTGCGCATTTGATGTATAAGAAGTTAAAATGTGCACCTATATTTCCATTACTTCTTTAGTAAAAGAAAACAGTCCTCTAAACTACTGTTTATTGCAGTAATTATATTACAGAAAGTTATACAATTAACTATTCAAACTTCTGTGATCATTTCATGAGATCGGCCAGATTGACGAGTATCGATCGAGTCATTAAATGTGATTAACGACCGATATCGATATCTTCAGGCGTTCGATCGGAGCATACCTAATATAAATAATGCTTTATGTTAAGAAATAATTTTCTGTAATGTTATTTTGACTAATTGTCATTTATAATAATACTAAATTAATTATTTAATACTACATTAATTGTCACAATAATAATACTAAATAATAAATGATTTAACTTAACACTGAAAAATTCAGACAAACTTTCACAGCTATATATACAGTATATATATGCACACACAGTGAAAGCATTGCAATACACTGTATACATTTTCATTCAATTTGTTAAATATACAATTAAGAATACAGTAAAAGAGAACTGTTCTTTTGCACAACATTCACATTAGATAAACAGGATAAAAAGCACCCCCCCCCCAAAAAAAGGGGTACATAAAACAAATAATAATAATCCAATTAAAAAATAGATAAAATTTCAAGTAGCATGAAAGATCTCATCATATTTACTAAAGAAAGAAGCACATTTCTTATTATCAAGTAATCTAAGTTAATTAAATGCTCTATATTTACATAAGAATAAAAATTAGATTTTTTAAAGGAACCTTAATTTTTGTGAAAGTAAAATTTTCCAGTAAGTATAAGAAAGTTCACAGGGGCTTCTAACAACTTGTTTTGGTTTTCAGAATAACAAATAACATCCTTAAGGTGCACATTACCACTCGCATTCACTTTGGAAAAGCAACATGAACTTAAATCATTCCAAAACAATGATGTTATGTTGCATTAAAAAAAACAAGTGACAAATGTCGTCACACTCATTTTGACGAAGGTGCAAATATCAGCTACATTACAATATTTGGACAAGAGTGCATTACAGAGGTAAATTTGTGCAAACTTTTAAAGTGCACCTCTTTTATTTTATTAGGAATGCAAAATGTATATGCTGATAATCTTGATTACTTGTGGAGACAGTAATCCACTAGGTATAGCCTTCATAATTGACTTAAATTCCTTATACTGGACCGGGAATTTAATAATATTTATAAAACTCTCAAAAGTTAAGAGATCCCCATTATGATTGAAAAGATCAGAAACAAAGATAATGTTTTTGTTAAACCATTTATTCCAAAAAAGATTTATTATATATCTTAATGTCTGCATTATTCCATAAAATGGTTCTGTGGTGTGAGTAATTGTGGTTTTAAATCAGTTTCCAGGCTAATAGAGCTTGTTGATGGAATTAGACTAATTTAATAGGTCATTTATCAATGGAGTAATTGCAATTGAATATTCATTTGATATTTACTTTAACTGGACTGATATGGCGTAATTTGTGATGTACTGTGATGATGTCATCGTCTAATACCACAGCTGAGAAAGTGATGTCATTGGGTCGCAACTGGCACCGGCCTTGCCTTCGCTGTGTGAGGTGTAAGAAAACACTGACTCCTGGTGGCCATGCAGAGGTACTCATGCATTTAGAGATGCTTTTCAATGCAATTGAGATTTTCTACATATTGTTTCATATTAGTTTATTCCAGAACTTTAACAATAGCTAACTCTAAAACATAAAAGAAGATATGTAAGCAGTAGTTGAGTTCTTTATAATATAAGTTCTCTATATAAAATATGCTTTATTATGTTCTCTGTTGTCTGCAGCATGAAGGCAGCCCGTACTGCCACGTACCCTGCTATGGCTACCTTTTTGGACCAAAAGGTGTGAACATTGGAAGGGTGGGCTGTTACATTTATGAGAATGAAAATGCAGAAAATGAAAGGCCAAGTGAACATTAGGTCATAAAGAAAAACTTTTTTTATTTAGTACAGATTTTTTTACACAATTAATACAATTGTATGGTGTAAAGCTTTTCACACAGTCAGGTATATGCAAACTCTGTTTTATGTATTGCATTTATTCTAATTGATAATTAGAAAAATTTGAATTTTAAAAAACTGTCCCCGCACACACACACACACACACACACACACACACACACACACACACACACACACACACACACACACGCACGCACGCACACACAACCACACACACACACACACACACACACACACACACACACACACACACACACACACACACACACACACACACACACACACACACACACACACACACACACACACACACACACACAACCACACTGTTCTCTGTTTCATTTTTCTGTTCTTCTCTTCCACAAACAGAGACTCACAATTTCCATCTATTCATTCACGCTTCCATTCAATCTTATCTTATTTAGAAAATATCTGTAATTATTACATGGCACTGGAAACAAAGTTGTAAATCCTTGTGTAACTAATAAACAAAAATATTTTAGAAGATTTTTAAGAATTGTTCTTTCTTTTTTTGTGCGCATTTACTGTCTTGGGATCTGAATATGACACTAAGCAACAGAACATCAAAGTGTAATTTCCATTTGGTAAAACTGAACTCTGGTCTGTTCACTGGGGTTCATTCATTGCAATTTTCTCCTCGTTCTCCTGCTTCTCTTGATCTTTATTGGGAGTTTTCCTATTTGAAAAGGTAAAAACATGACTTTAATGAACATGCAGTTTTCAGATTTGCTTTGAATATTTTTGGATTCTAATATATATTAAATCAAGCTAATTTTTCTAAAACAATATATATGGCTGTATATCGGCACTGGTGGGGGCAATAAGGCAACGCACGCCTCCCACCAGTGCCGATATACAGCCATATCGCACTGCTACTTGTGTGATATTGCGTTTATACAACAGTTTGGTGGCATAATTGTGTATATAAAAACAAAATCAAACATGGAGAGTCTCAAAAACCCTTTTGTATGAGGAACTACTTTCTTCCAGATTTAAATCATAAGCTGACAGTTAAACAGTTGAGCGTGCATCTTTTAAACTTTAGATCTGTAGTGTCTGCTTTCTGCTGGCTGTATGTGGGTGGAGTAATACACAAAGGGTAAAGAGGCTGTAGGAGTTCTGATATTGCAGAATATTGCACGGCTATCAGCCAATCAGATTTCAGAACCAGACAGAACTGTTGTATAAACATATATATAGTTGAAGTCAGAATTATAAGCCCTCCTTTATATATATATATACTTTTTTAACACATTTCTAATAATAGTTTTAATTACTCATTTTTTAATAACTGATTTATTTTACCTTTGCCATGATTACAGGACATAATATTTTAATAAATATTTTTCAAGGCTTTTCTATACAGCCTGAAGTGACATTTAAAGGCTTAACTAGGTTAATTAGGTTAACTAGGCAGGTTATTGTATACTAGGCAAGTTAATGTATAACAATAGTTGGTTCTGTAGACTATCGAAAAAATATATTGTTTAAAGGAAATAATAATATTTACCTTAAAATAGGTTTTAAAAAATTAAAAAACTACTTTTATTCTAGCCGAAATAAAACAAATAAGGCTTTCTCAAGAAGAAAAAAGTATTATCAGACATATTGTAAAAAATTTCCTTGCTCCGTTAAACATAATTTGGGAAATATTTATAGGAGAAAAAAAATTCAAAGGGGGGCTAATAATTCTGACTTCAACTACACACACACACACAAACACACGTACAAAAACAGTGAAAGGCAGTACCTTTCCAAAGGTGCACATTTGTACTTAAAGGTTCCATATTGGTAACTTAAAGATACATTCTACTACCCAAAGCATATATATTTATTCTATATAAAAAGAACAAAACTGTTTGAAAAGTACCTCGCTAAAGTCTAGATGGGATACAGCCGTGGATACACACATCAATATAGCATAATTTTTGAAACACTGTACAACAATAATTATTATCTGTGAGTCGTTTAGGGTTGGGGTGTGTGAGAGCATTAATAAAATACAATTTAATGGGAAATATAATAAATAATATGGATAATACTCTGTATAATTACTGTACATTACTGTAATGGTTGGGTTTAGGCGTGGGGTAGTGGAGGTGGACGTTAATAAAATACAATTAATGGGTAATTTTAGAAATAATATAAATCATTCTTGTTAATTTCCAGGCACAGCTGTATACCTTCTAGCAACAACCAATACCTTGTCAGTGACCATTTCTGTAACTTTATTTCTGAGCATCATAGTCATTGAGAGAATTTATATTAAAAGGTATCGTTCACTTATCAATGAAACTTTTCATTCTGTTAAACTTTTCATCATTTATTCATTCTGTTAAACACAAAGAAAGATATACTGTGTGGATTAAAAACAGCCGTTGACTTCCATATTTTTGTTCCAAAAATGTATCTAATGACAAACAGTTTATCTTGTTTTGTGATCAACAGAAGAAAAAAAAAATTCATTAAAGTTTAGATGCACTTTAGTGTGAGGAAATAGTGAGGAAATTTTCATTTTGGGAGTACTGTCACTTTAAGTGTTCAGAATGATGTTGTACTGAATGTTAAGACTTACCCAGTGCCCTCAACATCCTCTATAGTCTCTGGTAGACACCTGTCTCGAGTCTCTGGTAAATTCCAAGCCACCACAGAAGCAATTAATGCCACCGAGCACAAGATGGTCTGAGAGAACTGACCCCAGAAAGTGTCCAATAGCAGGACTAAAGGAGCCACAGAAACACCCAGACGAGCCAGGAAGGAATTATAGCCCATGCCATTTTGCCTAGAGGATCCAATCAAAGTGTTTATTTAGCGTGTAGTGTGCAATTACAGATTTTATGTCAAGTTGCAAATTAACTCGAAGGAAACAAAAGGCAGGAGGTCAATGTTACCTGAGAACAGTCGGGTAAAGCTCAGAGCTATATAATACAATTGTGCAAAAGGCAGCAACTGCGAAGCCTTTACCCAGAACAGCAACCACAGTACGACCAATCCACTGATCTGAATAAGATAGAGAGAGAGAAGATATTGAACCATGTTTAACTGACTGAATAAACAAGTGAAACTCACCCTCTTTTAGCCATTATGAGATGGGTAGTTTGCCAATTCAACATATTTAAAGTTAATGAAAAGTTAGTTGTGACATGGTGGCGTAGTGGGTAGCGCTGTCACCTTACAGCAAGAAAGTCACTGGTTTGAGTCCCGGCTGGGTCAGTTGGCATTTCTGCGTGGAGTTTGCATGTTCTTCCCATGTTCACGTGGGTTTCCTCCAATTTCTCTGGTTTACCCCACAGAGATAAATTAAACAAGCTAAATTAGCCATAGTGTATGTGTGGGTGTAGATGCAAGAGTGTATAGATGTTTCCCAGTGCTGGGTTGTGGCTGGAAGGGTATCCGCTGCGAAAAACACATGCTGGATAAGTTGGTGGTTCATTCCACTGTGGCAACCCCTGATTAATAAAGGGACTAAGCCGAAAAAAATGTATGAATAAATGAAAAGTTAGTTTACATGGTTATATATAAAAATAATAATAACCTGTATAGAATTTTCAGGGACAGTTATCTATAGGTTGTAAAAGTAACCTTAAAATATAAAACTTTGGGACATTCTGTAATATTAATTTTGGTCATTACTATTTAATGTTCTGCCAACGTTATTTTATAGTTGCAAAAATTATCTAAATATAGCCATAAAGGAACATTCTGTAAAAGATATTTTAGGCTATTCTGCAGAAAATTACCACCCTGCAACAATTTAGGGACATTTTTTCAAGGTTGCAAAACATTGGCTGCGTCCGAAACCACATACTTCTATACTATATAGTATGCTAAAATCAGTATGCGAGCCGAGTAGTATGTCCGAATTCATAGAATTCGAAAATCAGTATGCGAGAAGTACCCGGATGACTTACTACTTCCGGCGAGATTCCGGAATGCGCATCCCATGCATGCTGCGCTATCGGATGCAGCGATAGACCTGAAAAACAGACTTTCTGTAGAAGTTATTTAAAGCTTTTTAAAAATAACCATCCTGTAGTTTTCTGGAATTAATTTAAAGGTTGCAAAATATATATATTTTTGTTTTTGCCATGGCTGTATTCTAAACTTTTTCCTTGGAGTGGCAAATGGAGAAAGCTATTAATGTTTTCAAAACCAGTGGTCATACCGTTATGTTTAATCTGCCGTAATAAATTGCACCTATTTGACCCCTTTATCAAGATTTAAGATAAGTCTTTTGTGTCTCCAGAATGTGTTGTTGAATGTGAAGTTTCAGCTCAAAACACCCATCAGATTATTTTTTATACCTTTCAGAATATTGGAATTTCTGCTCTGAACACAATGTAGCTATTTTTGAGGTCTGTGCCTTTAATTCTAGTTCTCCCACACACTGTTCCCATGTGCCTGTCAGAGTGAGCCTCAATCTCCGCCTTGGCTGCATCAGATAAACCGCACAGTGACAGACATGAAGGAAGCAGATCTCACAAACAAATACTACATTTGTGAGAAATACTACAGTAAGAACTTTCCCAATGATTTTGTATTTGTTGGGTGGAGTTAATTCAATGTTGTAGAGTCACACACAATGTTGTTACAAAGTTCACGCACATATACACACACACACAGTGGACACACACACAATGCGCATGTTGAACTTTGCACTGTTTTTGCATGGCAAATTAAACAGGATACACGTTAATTCCCACTACTGTATGGATATCCGTTATGTTATGTGAAATAAACCTGATTTATTGTCCACAAATATAATCGTACTGATATGCGGCTGTTCTGATAAAAATGGTCAAATTGTTGTAATTCATTACAATCATGCACTGTTTTAAAAACGTTTTAAACTTGTAAAACTGATTCTTGATCACATTTGATGATGATTGATGATCACAGCGAGCTGAACAGATCTTTTAATTCCAGTTGCTTTACGCACATCCTTTCATTCATTCATTTTCTTTTTGACTTTGTCCCTTTATTAATCTGGGGTCACAGTGGAATGAACCGCCAACTAATCCAACATATGTTTTATGCAGCAGATGCCCTTCCAGCTGCAACCCATCATTGGTAAACATTTATACACACATCCACTATGGACAATTTAGCCTGCCTAATTAACCTAGACCACATGCAAACACGGAGAGAACATGCAAACTCCACACAGAAATGTGAACTGACCCAGCCGAGGCTCAAACCAGTGACCTTCTTCCTGTGAGATGAATGTGCTACCCACTGTGCCCCGTGCAGCCCCTGCGCACGTCCTGTCTTGTTGATATGATTATACGCATTTATATGCGGCTGTCAAACAATTCGGTGGGCGGGGAAACCACATCCCCACGTCACGTTGCAGTGGGCCTCAAAATAAGAGGGATTTGGATTCTATTTTAACGCAAGGAAATTTAAAAAAAGAGACTTATTGTGTTTATGTCACTCCAATATTACTGTGGAGACACTACACCTACACACAGTTTTGTCTAAATAGC